ACTTATTTCTACTGTTTATTTAACCTTCCTAGCATTTTTCACAACATACACTAAGTCTCAATCTTCCTAGAACATAGCCAATCTACTCACATTATCATAAAACCCTAAAACACTATTCATCAAAACCTAAATCATGCAAAACTCAAGGAATTTGTGTGAAAGAGAGTGGAAAACTCACCACCATGGATCACACAACAAGGCAAGGTTGCTCCTCAAGCTTCCATGGAGGTAGAAGCCAACAAATCTCTCCACTTTCCAAATGGGTCGAAACTTTGGAGAGAGAAATCCCACAACACATCACTCCCCACTAAGAACCAAGCTATGATTAAGGATGAGGGGAAGAATCTAAGTGGTTTAGGCTTTTGAATCAAGAAAAAAGGTTAAGAATGGAGGGAGCTAGGGTTTCCCTCTCTTTTCTCTCTTCTCCCTCTCCTCCTCTCCTTCTTTCTTTCTTTCTTCTCTTTTTTTTTCTTGTTGTCGACGGGAATGGGAGGGATTTGGGGTTCTTTTATGGCATGGTCACTTAACTTTGGTTAAGTGGAATAAAGTGGGTATTGGTTTATCTATCTATTTAACTCTATTAATCACCAAACTTTACCCAAGTGTCTGGAATATTTTTCTAGGAATATTTTCACTTCCATTTTTATATTTTGGGTACTTTTGCCCACACCCATTTATACCCCTTAATTTTCACTGAGTACACTTTTTACCTCAAAAGTGACCCTAATTAATTTAATTAGGTCTTTTACTTATTTTAACTCACTAATACATGCCAATTTACTTAATAACATGTAATTTACTATTTAATTAGGTTAGGGATATTATAAATATAAATTACAAGAAAGGCTAAACAGCGTTTAAGAACTCATTGGTTTCGTCTCGCCCTAACTACATAAATAAACTTAGCCTAACATGTTCATAAAATCAGAATTAACAAATGATGAAAAATAAAGATAGTTCTTGATAAAACTTAATTAATGATGATCAATGATGAAACTTTGATCTCCTTCTTCTCCTCTGCAATTACGCTCTATAATTTCTCCTCTGCTTTCTGCCTTCGTCTCTGAGTCTCTGCTTTCTTCCGTCTTTCGAATGTATGGAATAAACCCTAATGAGCGTTTTTATAGAAATAAAAATGGGCTTTTAATTTGAACCAGGCTTGCTGAGGATTCATTTTGATTAATTCTTTATTTTTCTTGATCCTTATCCTTTGCAACTGATCTTAACTGCCTTTTTAATCAGATTAGTAATGTTACATTGAACCTGAAACAAACTGAAATAATATGAAAATGGATTAGAATCTTATCTAGTTGTTGGTATTTTAATAGCTTTTAGATTTATTAATTAACACTATATTAATAATCATATTAATCATTATTTAAAGTAATTTTAATATTAAAAACATAGTGTCTTTGACACTTATCTCCAAGTCCCTATGCTCAATAAGAGCAACTATAATAATTGGAGCAACTAGATGATTGCTCTCATTGGATCACAAAATGTCTGTGAAGTGATAGAGAAAGGCTACAATGAGCCACAAGAAGAAGTTACTCTATCCCAAAGGTCAAAGGGATAACTTAAAGGATTCAAGAAAGAGAGACAAAGCATTGTACCTCATCTATCAAGGAATAAATGATAACACTTTTGAGAATATTTTTGCCAACATTACCAAGGAAGCATGGGAGAAGCTACAAGCGTTTCACAAGGGTGTTCAACTAATCAGGAAGGTACATCCCCAAACTCTAAAAGGTGAGTTCGAAACTTTGCACATGAAATATGCTGAAAATATCTCTGACAATAGAGAAACAACAAAAAAGTAGAAGAGGTAAGAATTATGGAGAATATTCTTTGATCTTTAGATCCAAAATTAGATCTCATTGTCACTGTCATAAAAGAAAAAAGGACTTGGGAGCCATGACAATAGAACAACTTAGGGGTTCTTTATAAGCCTACGAAGAGGAGCAAAAAAGAAGTAAGGGGTTGGTGAAAAACTACTTAAGATGCAACTCAACTCCAAAGAAAAGGAAGAAAATTTTGGCAATAGAAGAGGGCGAGGGAGATATTGTGGCCAATGAAAAGGTCATGGATGTGGAAGAGAAGGCTTCAACAATAATTATACCAATAATGATAAAAGAAACAACTCAACAAAAGGTCGTGGAAGTGGTAGCTCCCATTCAAGGCGTGACAATTCTCAAATCAAGTGCTACAACTGCATTTGACATCCTTACCATTTTTTCCTTACAACTTCATCGTTGGATTAAAATCAAATTAATAGTTCTAACATCAAATTACAGTGATTGATTTGATTTAAATCCAACGATAATAAAATAGTTGTAAGAGGTATAAGAAAAAAAGTTCTAAGTATAACCTACCTGATATATATATATATATATATGGTAAAATACCTACTTTACAAATGTTGATGACTTTTGAATTTACATAGTGTAACATCCCGAGCGTTGATGACGACGGGGAGGGACCGTCGAGCACGTGGGTCAGGCTGTACTACTAGTCCAGATAAATCCCAATGTCCGGAGTCCATCCCGCTAAGGTAGGATGGGTTGTGACGGCGACTTAGGGTAGGCTTCCAGCGGGAGGGGAATACAATGAATCGAATCAACACCCGAATGAGAGGGATCCAGAGGTTGTGCAGATATAAGACTATACTGTTGATGATAACTTAAAGGAATTAATAGGTATTACGTATACTAAAAAGATGCATATACTTTTCAGTAGCCTATAATTTAAAACTCTATAGTTAAGCGAGCTTAACTTGGAAGAATTTTAGGATGGGTGACCTTCTGAGAAGTTTTCCAAGAAGTGTGTGAGTGAGGACAAAACACGTTGTAAAGTCTTATGTTAGTTTGTGGGACAATCATTGATCCTGCAAGTGGCCAGGCATTACAAGTGGTATCAGAGTAGGGCCTGTCTTTCGGTATGGTGTGGTTCGAGGACGAACTAGGCGGAAGCTGGTGGGCATGTAACATTCCAGGCTCTAACGAGGGCAGGGAGTGATCGTCGGGCACATGGGCTGAGCCGTACCACTAGTCCAGATAAATCCTAGTGCTTGGAGTTCAGCCCACTAAGGTGGGAGGGGTTGTGATGGCGACTCCAACAGGCTTTCAGCGGGAGGGGCACATGAATGAATCGAATCAACATTCGAACGAGAGGGATCCAGAGGTTGTGCAGGTATGAGACTGTACAGTTGAGGATATCTTAATGAATAATAGATACTACATATACTAACAAGATGTATATATTTTTCGGTAACCCATAACTTAAGAACTCTATATTTAAGCGTGCTTGACTTGGAACAATTATGAGATTGATGACATCCTAGAAAGTTTCTCAGAAAGTGTGTGAATGAAGACAAAATACGCTGAAAAGTCTCGTATTGATTTGTGGTAACAATCATTGATCCTGCAATGTTACACGTAGTGTGCTAAAATATAATTATCTTCCCATTTATGTCATGCAACCATTATATTAATTTAGTATGGGGTTCGCTATTCATGTTTATGGTCTTATATAATTACTTTTTTATATGAAAAATTGGATGATCAGTAAAATAAGGAGTGATATTCTCATACTTTTCCATTAGTTTATGCTTTGTTCTTTCTATATTTTTTAATTTATCTTTTTTTATTTTCTTTCCTTTCATTTTATAGCAATGACACATTTACCCATTTTCAACTGGGTCGAGAATTTTATACCGGTAATATTGGCAAAATAAAACTAGTGAGATTTTTTTTTCTTGTCATTACAAAGAGAAACTTGATGGAAGCTTCAACTCTTCAACCCTCTTTCCATGCAATTGATCAAATTCTAAAGTTTAAACAATGAATTATGGAAAAAATTTATAATGGAAACCATTTGATAAAATATCCACCTTATCCATTGTTTCAAAGTAACAACATTTTATTTTCCTCTTTTACAAAATAAGTCTAAGACATGATAAAAAAAAAGTAGGTTAAAGTGAAAAGAAGAGTCTCTCCCATTCTTTCTCTTTCTCTCTCTATATATAATATTCGAAGATATAATATCTTCTTTCAATTTTAATGGAAAATTTTGGTTTAATTTAAGATTAATTGTTTGAGAGAATGCTGAAAACCAGAATTCTTTGGTTTTCAATAAATCGGTTGGGAAAAAATTACTTGTTATGAAGTCCAAATTTGTTTAAAGTTTTTAATTATTATTTTTTATTTTGATTTTATAAAAAATTCAAAATTAATAAATAAAAAAATAAGATAAATAAAATTTTCACTCAAAACACTCTTATTCTTCCTTCTCTTTTTTTAAGAATGTGCATGTTAAGGATCAAACCAGTTTGGACCCCTTGGGCCTTTGGTCCCGTTTGAAGCTTCTTTAGTCATGAAGACTAATTGGGCTTTTGACCCTTGTAATGCAAAAAAATGAAACATAGCATCAATTTAAATTTTTTTTGACAAATTATTTACTCAACTAATAGAAGTGAAACACGCACGTTTAAGTCATGTATCACCTTCATGCATGATTTGCGTAAAACTTAAAAAGTATCTGCCACGTGTTACATTTTGTAAGACGCGCATCAAAGGCGTGTGCGACTTGAAATGCATGTCTTGTATTGTGTTAATTTTTACACAAGTCACATGCAGAGGTGATGCGGGACGAATGATATATTTTCTTTTTTCCATTAGAGTGGTAAAAAAGTCGACTAGTTGCTGTATCTAACGCAATTTTCTTTTCCTAACTAAAACTATATAAAACTATGCCATATTGAATTTGATTCCGAAGAGTGCCAGCTTTTGGGTAGAAAGAAAAGACTCAAACCTCTAATCGGGTGCAACTATTGTCACCTGTCTTATTTAAGCCTGATTATTTGTCATTCACTCAATTCTCTTCATTGTATAGAGAATTGCCACATCAATAGCCTCTGGGAACAGCTATTGTGGTTGTAGTGACTACGATTCAAAATCCTTCACATGTGATGATTACCAATTTAGTAGGATAATTCATGTTGATAATGCTCCTAATGATCCTATGATACATATGGTCATTCTTAGCACTAAGGGAGTTATCAAAGAGTTTTCCATTCGAGAGATTAATGGCCTGGTAAGCTCATGATCTCACAATATTTTGTTTCTTCACCAATACATGTTGCTTTTGACCATAGCCAGAATTAACCTTAAACAATATATCAAAAAGAATAATCTACAAATAATAACAATGAACATGAATATATTCTTCCACTCGATTGCAATCATAATTGGGTACTCTTATTTCTTCCTAAGATCAATTCCTGCCTTCTTTGCAACTGCATCAAGTCCATTCTTCTCTATAGTCTTTAATGCCTTAGTTGACAAACGAAGCTTTACAAAACGCTTCCCAGCTTCCCACCAAAGTCTCTTGTACTGAAGGTTTACAAACTGCAGTTTCTTTGTCTTATGGTTTGAAAAAGACACTTTGTTGGCCCTGTTTGCTTTCTTTCCAGTAAAGGGACACACTCTCCCTGAAAAAAATTAAAATCACAGTACTAGAAGAATCAATCACCAGTAAACTAGTTAAAATGTTTTATAAGTAATGATCATGATTGCGGTTAGACGCCTCAGACCTAATCATAATGTAGCTTGGCATCAACAAGCAATAACCTTATTAGCATATTGTTAGATATGTATGTTCTCTTATTAGAAACAAAGATTGTAGGCCAACATTAATTAACAAAAGCATATATGTGTCACTCTAAAGATGAAGATGGAACTGGAGTCCCTTCTGTCCAGAAAAACAAAACTAAAAATATACATTAATTTGTCAGCTATAAATTAAAAAAGAAGCTGCTATAAACAAACAAAGTTGGTCACTCACAGGTAGCAATATCCCTCGCTTGTTGGGGGAAGAGATGTGCTTTTCAAGATAAAAGACAATGTTGTCTATGAAAATTGAGGATCACTATTTCTATTTCCAACTTCTATGTATCTGTTTATACACTTGACACAAGCTTCAACAAAGAAAACTCTTCCTTCAATACAATTATGACTGAAACCAAAACCACACGATCACATATAACTACAAAACCTCCTTTTTTGTACATGCTATGTTTTTGAAAACTAGTATATGCATTTCATCACATGTCCATAACAGTAATTATTGTTTCTCGATAGTCCCATCCTACATCTTATGCATAAAATTTCTCTACGGTGCCATCTACAGTACACCATAGGTAATGCACGGTTACTCCTTTTAAAAGAGGACATTGGTAGCGTATCTAATATGCCAACCAATGCCCAACATTTTAAGACACATGAAGGACTGATAATTTCACTAGTCATCTTCAAAGGGTGCAGCTATACACCTACAATGTACCATAGAAAGCACTATCTTCTATAAGCCTAATTACTAATGGCAAGCTAAATTAAAACCAAAAATGGAATCCCGACAAATATTTGGGTTAACAAGATCATTCTTATCAAGCATCTTACTCTTTCACTTGCATAATTCCTACAAGGATAAGTCCATAATAAAATAAAAAAGGAAAATAAAAATACAAAAAATAGTCAATAATCAAGATAAGCTCTGCTCTGCTCAAAGGATGTGATTCTTAATTTTAAGATTTTATTTTAACTTCTTTCTGAATTCTCAGCATGTATTACCTTTGATCTCACTTATTCACTTGTTCCGGTCACTATAACGTATATTTTGTTACGAGCTCCTCGATCAATAAAAAGTTAAAAATCATTAGCTTCTCATACAATTGCTCCAAAAACTACTTTTATCACCAACTTTCGCTCAGCTCCCAAATGCTGCGAAACTAGCCCTCCCCCTCCCTCTCGCACCCAGGAAAAGAACAAAAAACATTATCTCTAGTTCACTTGCTTTTTGCTAATGATATTATTTTGGTGGCTGAGATAAAAGACCAAATGTTAAGTTTGAAGTGTGGAGAAATGCTTTGTAGAAAAACTAACAAAGCTATTCCATTTAATTAGCAAAGGAGAGAAGATGATGTAGTAGTATAAACTGAGGGAAAGAAGTGAGCAAATATGAGAGTTTCTTATACTTGGGATCAATTCTACGAAATGACGAAAGGATTGATAATGATGTGAGTATATCACACATTATATTCAACTAGAATGGATGAAAAAGGAGAAGTTCCTTAGGTATTTTTGGACAGTAAAGTGGCCATAAAATCGAATAAAAAAACGGCAGTTAGTGTTTGACACAACATGTTGTATAGAACCTACTGCCAGATTGCCAGCCAATGATTGCAGTTATGAACAAAAGATGGTCATAGAAATGAGGATTTTCCAAGGAACAAATTTGCATACTAGCCAGGAAGGATTAGATGAGGGATAAGATCATTAGGGAAAAGGTTGGAGGAGCTTCTAAAGGAAAATCGCAAAATGCTCCCAAACTTTGCAAGAGTAGGGGTGAGAGTTGATTTTTACACAGCTTTACCCTCGCAATTTTGCAAAACAACTTGGAGTAGCTTCTATAGAGGAAAGTAATTATGCAAAACCATTTGAGATGGTTTAAACTTGTAAGATGACAAACTACTGACACCAAGGTAAGATGATGTAAAATTCAAGTTACATATGATAATTGATGCCCCTTTAAAGAAAAGCAAAGGGAGTTCAAAAGAAGACATGAAAGGAGACATTTAAGTAGGATTTTGGGTACATGGAGCTTATGAATCTATGATACAAGATTGTGAAAACAACAGCATCCAGGAACCCAACACAGTCAACCCAACTTATTGGAATAAGACTTGGTTATTGTAGCTGTTACATTATGTCTAACTCACTACAATTTCCTGGTGCTTGGTAAATTCTACATGCCTCATTCTACTAAAACACATGAATTGATTACAAAATAGGCTTCACACTGAATAATAACAAGTTAGTAATGTAGCCACATATAGAGTGTAAGCAAGGGAAGAATTGTCACACACCTTATAATGAATGTTTGGAAATTTAAAAAACAAAAAAACATAAGATTACACTTGTGGAGTATTAAATTTAGAAAAGAGAATAAAATAAAAGTAACTAGATAGCAAAAAGCAAAATAATTAAAAAAAAAAAGGAAATAGCTGATGGTATAGGAATTATTACGAGCAAGTGGTTGAAATGGAGAAGCAACAATAGGTGTAGGGAATTTGGGTGAAGGGTTGCAACAGATTCTGAGGCCGCTCAACTGTGAGGTCACGAACCCAAGCTCTGCACAACATATCAATCAAAATTTCACAAAACATAATAACCCAAGTTTATTATTTTGAGAGAGAGATAGAGGTAAGTTACCGGTTGAGGAGGAGGGTCTGGTGGTTCTCTTGTGTGCGACTGCGCACACAGCGAAGCTATTCCCAAATGATACAGCGCAACCAGCCATTGCTTCTTTCTCTTCTCTTGTGTGTATTGCGTTATCTCTTAACCCCTTCTCTCACTCACATACCAACAACTGCTGTCCACCCACTACAATTCTTCAAACGAAAGGGTAAAATAATAAATGATATGATTATAAAATAAACTTTTTTTATAATTTAATTTCTTTTAACATACAGTGTGGAAGTGAGCTTTTATATAATAACCCAGTGCATTATTCGTGCGATGTACGAAAGAAAAAGATCAAAATTTTATCGGCGATCATCGTTGATTAATTTTTTAAAAATAAACGTGTCACTATTAGATATATATATATATATATATATATATATATATATATATATATATATATATATACCCGTGCGATGCACAGGCGAAAAGATGATTTGTCTCTCTAGTAAAAATTAATACAAATCGTAAAAGTATATCGCCGTATTTTTTTCAATTAAGATAATGAATGCTCTTTTGAATTACCACATTTAACTTCAACAATGCAAAATTTAATTTTTTATCTTTTAATTATATATATTTAAAATATTTATGTTTAAAAAAAATTTAAAAATACTTGTATGATTTTTTTCTCTTTTTGTATTATATTTTTAAATTAAAATTTTAATTTATTTTCTTTTATAGTATAAAAATTTCATATCTTATTTTTTTGCAATTAATTTAAATTTTAAATTATTTTTTTATCAACTCTACATATATTTTTATAATTTTAAATATTTTTTATGTGATCTATAATTTTATATTAAATTATTATATATATACATATTTTTTCCCACTACAGATATATTAAATACTGAACTCTTTCCCTACGTATCAAGTTTAAAATTCAAATTTAAAAAATTTGAGTTTAAAATATTAAATATTTTCACACCCAATAGGCATAATAATAAACATTATTAATAGGCTTAAAAAAATTTCATGCAAAAAATAGCGGGAAACAATAAAAATAGTCTATAAAATACTTAATGATAAACATCTTTTTCGATGCAAGAGTTGGATGGTTGCAGTTCACTGAATGGTCATTCATTTTTATAACCTTTTAAATTTTTTTAATTTGTTTTTTACAGAATGTAGATGTCATTTTTTTATTTAAATAAAAAATTTGAATTCTTTTATATCGATGTACATATTTTTTGCAAAATTAATTTTTATCTTTTATTTATAATTTTTATATTAGTTATACGCATATATTTAAAATTTTTACGTTAAATATATTTTTAGAAAATACTTGTATGATTTTTTTTTCTTTTTGTATTATTTTTTAAGTTAAAATTTTAATTTATCTTCTTTTAAAGTATAAATTAGTCATTCTTATTTTTTTTGCAGTTACCTTTCAAATTTTAATTATTTTTTATCAACTCTACATTTATTTTGGTAATTTTGAATATTTTTTCTTTTAATCTATAATTTTAGATTATATTTAAATTTATTATATATATGTTTTTTCCCACTGCAAAAATATTAAATGTTGAACTCTTTTCCTACCTATCAAATTCAAATTTCAAATTTAAATAGTTTGAATTTTAAATATTAAATATTTTCCCACCTAATAGACATAATAATAAACAGTTACACACTATCTATAGGCTTAACAATTTTCCATCTAGGAAGTAGTGAGAAACATTAAAGTAGTCTCTAAAATACTTAATGACTAATATCTTTTTACAATATAAGTGTTCGGTGATCACTGAATAATCATTCATTTCTATAGTGATTATATTTTTATAATTAATTTTTTAGATGTCATTTTTTTATTTAAATAAACTTTTTGAAATATTTTGTATTAATTCTACATATATTTTAAAAAATTAATTTTTATCTTTTAATTTATAAGTTTTATATTGGTTATACATATATATTTAAAAAGATTATGTTAAAAAAAATACTTTTACGAATTTTTTTTCTCGTTTTGTATTATTTTTTAAGTTACATTTTTAATTTATTTTCTTTTAAAGTATAAATAAGTCATTCTTTTTTTGGCAGTTAAATTTCATAATTAAATTATTTTTTTATCAACTTTACATATATTTTTATAATTTTAAACATTTTTCATTTAATCTATAATTTTATATCATATTTAAATTTATTATATATATATATTTTCCCACTGCAGAAACATTAAATGTTGAACTCTTTTCCTATCCATCAAGGTCAAAATTCAAATTTAAATAGTTTGAATTTTAAATATTAAATATTTTCACGCTTAATAGACATAATAATAAACACTATTAATAGGCTTAACAATTTTCCACATAGAGAATAGTAGAAAACATTAAAATGATCTGAAAAATACTTAATGGCTAACATCTTTTTTCGATGTAAGAGTTGGATGGTCACTGAATAATCATTCATTTTTATAATTTATTTTTTACAGAATGATAAATGTCATTTTTTATTCAAATTAAAAATTTAAATTCTTTTGCATTTTTTTATACATAATTCTTTTGTATTAATTATACAAATTTTTTGAAAAATTAATTTTTAATATTTTATTTTATAATTTTTATATTGGTTATACATATATATTTAAAATGTTTATGTTAAAAAAATTTAATAAAAAATACTTGTACAAAATTTCTTAATGAGCATGAACGATTTCTAGTAAATAATTTATTAAGGATAACCTCTATGGTAATTTTCTTAAAAGAATAATGATGCCATGCATGTTTAATATTTTTCTAGTAAATAATGCAATTGAGTTTACCAAAATTAAAATAATGCAACTGAAATTCAAACTTGCAAGTTACTACATATATAATCTAAATCCTTTTATTAACCCACTTCCAATTCTTTATATATTTTTTCAGCACAATTCACAATAATCTTATCAAGCTAAAAAAGAATACATTACTCAAGTTTAGAACTGTCTCTTTGAGTACTGTGATTATGAATGTAAATATATCACCATATTTCAAGCGATTATATATTATGTGCTCATAAATTTTTACCTTATTGTGTTTTTCAAAATTAGTTCTTTTCAGAAATCACACTTTATAACAAAATAATAATAAAATAAATATTATTGTTGTGTAAATGTGTTATAAAGAATATTTATGTCTCTAAGTAATTGTAAAGCGCACTTTACTATAAATACTTTTTAGTGTTTAAAAAGTCAAAAATTAAAATTCCAAATGATACAAAAGGTCATCATTAATAGAATTAAAAAAAATTAATAAGAAAAGGAAAAAATTTATAATAATATATCCTTTTGGTTATTATAAAGCCACAATTGCATGGTGCATATACAAATAAAAGAAAAAATGGGAATATGCAAAATCGAAAATTTTATTAACATATAAAATTATCATATTAATATTATATTATTAACATTTTATTAATATTTAACGTGACATGCATTTAAAAAATATGAAAATAAAATCATCTAATTATATTTTTATTCATGTTCAATTTTTATAAAATTTGACATAAACAATCAAATAATAAATAATAATAATTCAACGATTAAATTGATAAAAATCATATTTTACATAAGAAGCCTCTACATGAGTAATAGAGAAGTTCTTATAAGTAAGAAATTATTTAAAAAAAATGATGAAGCACAGAGATCTATATAAAATTGTATAATATTACAATGATATATAACATTAGGTATATTATATATCATGATCTAAATGAAAAGAAAATTGAGAAAAAATGGTTTTATAAAGCATATACAAATCAAGTGACTCCTATACAGTGAGTCAGACATCTGCTAATGATCATATTTTATGTCATCTTTTTTCTACAGCAAGAGGATTAGGATGCACTTGACGCACAAATTGTCCTTTTACTCTTGGACGTTGTTCTGCTAGTTTCTTTCTTCTCTCATATCAATCCATGCTTTGAGAGAAGATTGACAACCTTTCCAATCTCAGTTGTCTAACAAAGTAAAATTTTGAGAATTAAATGACTTACAAAAACGGAAATGGAAAAAAATAACCAATAAAAATTTTAGAAAATTGACCACAAACCTAAATTGAATCCAATTCAACTTTGCGCAAATCGTTCTAACTCCTTTTGTATAATCTCTAAGTTTTAGTACCTTTACATAGTATATTTGCAACTACCTAAACAAAACAAAGCAACATAACAACATAATATATTGTATCCATTTCAATAACATAGTTTTCAACACAATGATGGCAAAATAACTTACTTCATTGTTCTTACATTCTTCCAGTTCTTATTGTAGTCCTTCCAGCAATATATCATTTCGGCAAAATTAAGCTAACCAAAACATATGAAACTTGTAGTAACACCATTTTAAATCTAAATCTTAAGCTCAAAAGTGTACAAACCAAATCGAAAGGTAATAAACACAAAATATATCTTAAATTTTAAAGGCAGAGTATAAGAAAGTGTAGACCTGCTTGGATCCTCTTCAAAACGTTATTTGCTCAACAAAAGCTCCCAAATCGAAATAAAGTACAGAACAATGAACATGGAACATCAACAAACATGAAATAGAAAACTATAAACACATAAATAATGAGTAAGGTTATGCGAAAGAACAGTTTGAGAAGATGAAGAAGATAACAGACATAAATAGAAGAAATATGTGTACAAAAGGTGATTACCAAAGGAAAATATGTAGCAACACATATCCTATTTATACATGTACTACATACAAAATTCATTTTTTAAACTCATTTTTTTATTTCAAAAATTTATTTTTAAAGCTTCTAACAATTAATAGTATTAACAATTACCCATGCAAAAAGTAGTGGGAACAATTAATAGGAGAACAATTACCTATGCACAAATTAGTGAGAACAATTAATAGGGTTAACAATTTCAATGTAGAAAGTAATGGGACATTAATACAGCTGTCTGCCACTAACAAATTTTAAAAAATAATGAGAATTCAAATTTAAATTGTTTCTAAAAGTGGAAAAAATTTAAGTTGTTTGTAGTGTGAACACAAAGTGGAGAATACATGAGAAATTGACACGTAATCAAATTTGTCAACAAATGATTTTGCTTTAAAATAGATATAGATATAGATTATGCTCCAACTTTTGTACATAGCTTCTGTCCATAATTAAATTGGGTTTAATGTTTCTAAAGTTATTTTAAATGATT